TTAATACATAAATTGCTGATGCATGAATATAACAATTGATTATTATAGTCTACTAGATATAATATTATTATTAGTTTTGAACAAGTGGAAAATTAATTCAAGTTGATATTACAGACTTTATCAATACAATAAACTACGGCCTCACTGCATTGTATTATGATCGACTCAACAGATAGTAGATCTATCTCCATAGATAAAAATTATATTTTTCACTGAAGTTCTGTATGTTGTCTAGGCCATCATGGAGTTTGCTAGCATCATAAATACTGATGCTAGCATTGATATCTATGCTCTAGGTCGGTCAGGTCCGTGGTCATTAATGCAGAGTCCGTACTTTAGTCTTTTCGGGTCCCTTGGTCGGGTCAATAAATTAGTCTTTTCGGGTCCGTTGGTCCGGTCCGGTCCGCTTTTTAGAGACAACCCATAGATACTATATATACCAAGTGGATACAAAACAGGATGCGCCTATGCTCTTTTCGCCGGATGTGACGTTTATTATAGCTACACTTAGCAACCAAAATGGTGGCAAAATCAATAATTATAAAAAAACTTCATAAAAATCTATATTTCTTCTGAAAAGAGTCAATACAAGAAACAACAGACAATTTATCTTCATTGGTTTCATATTCATACCCTATTTGATGATCAAAAAAATAATATTATAATAATAGTTTTATCATTCTAATATGGTATGTCACAATGACATTAACTAACTTTTTTTGAAGAAACATAGCTTTAAAATAATTATGAAAATATACAAACCGTACAAAAGGCATGTACGTAGACACATACAAAATTATACCTCTTCAAATCGCATAGTTTTCCAGAAAAGGCGTTTACAAAACAGACCATTAATAAACTAAAAAATGAAAATATTTCTATTTTATAAAACTGCAGTGGAAAGCTAGTAGTTACAGACCATGTAACACAATAATATCCTTCTTCTACCCAAATAACACTTACTAACTCTGCCCCAGATTGGAGAAAAGGTGTTTAAAGTCAGAACTATAGGCCGCCATGTTTTACAGTACAACGAGATCCAGTGATCAAGCAAACAAGGATTCAGCAGGTCATTCGAGCTAATAGAGACTTCATAATACTTACTTCAACTCAGGAAAGTAGTAACTTGACCAAGAACCCAAAACTTCGAGAAACAAGGCCGCTTCAGGCTACGCTAGAGCGAAAAGAGCATAGGCATACTGCTCGTGACGTCACCAATATAATTTCATGTACAATCCACTTCCTGTTTCGCATCCACTTGGTATATATAGTATCTGGTCGTCCCTAAAAAACGGACCGGACCGGACCAACGGGCTACTTTCCCAATTCTGTTAAGACTTGGCTCTTGGTGAAGCCTAGTTCAGCTGATGATGCTAAGGCTATTTTTGAAGATACAAACATTTCAATGACTACTGAGGGCCGTCCTGTCTT